GCCCGGCCCTCCTCGCATCTCTTCACCTGGTGTTCTCCCAGTGCACACGTGCCAGTCCCCAAATTTCCCCTTTTTATAAGGACAACAGTCATATTGGAGTAGGGATTCATCCTACTCCAGTGTGACCTGATCTTAACTCATGACATCAGCAAGGCCTATTCCCCGTATTTTGAGGACACAGCTTTCAACCCATGCCGTCTGCCCACAGGTAGCATTTGCACGCGTTCTGTTTGCCACACAAAATGAGCCGGTTACTTTTCTCATTGTAGTCTGTGGTTTCAGGAGTTCTTGGGTTTCATACGATGGGGCTTTGGCTTTCACAGCAGTGAGGCAGAAGAGGGAAGGGAAACTTTGAAGGTTGGTCTTGGAAAGCACTTCTAGAAGAAGGTTAAGGTCCAGGGAGGAAACCTGTGACTCCCATCTTAGACTCTGTTGGAAATGTTTGCTGCAGACTTCTATTTTCTGTCCTAATGAATTCTGTCTTTAAAATTCTGTCCCCTATATAAGGCCTGTGTTTGGAATTTAAGTTTGGGTTTTATTTCCCTGTGCTAGGGCCTTAGCTGGAGGGGCCACGAATGTTTATTCACGAACACGGTCCTGACATACAATGATAAGGCCAGCCAGCACTTCATGCTTTTAAAATGTCTTCATATCTAGGCCTCATTTTGTTTTCAAAATGACCTTTGGATAGGTGATTAGCAAGAAAGTACAGATGTTAACATTCACTTAAGACAGGGGAAAATGTGATACAGCCCTTATCACATGGAAGAGCAGAAAAACTATCAGCTACATCTCCTGCCTGGTAACTTTTTGCTCCTTCCCTTATAACATCTGTGCGCTTAATTTAATTAGTAACCTTAATTCAGTTATTAGCTGGTTGTCATTTGGCCTTTTCTTACTTGATTAGTGGTTGTGTGTGTGTGTGTGTGTGTGTGTGTGTGTGTGTGTGTGTTGATTATTGAGAATGTAACCTTGTAGCAATTTGCATGATTCTAGAAAGACTGCAGAATAGCACATACTTTTTAAAATTGTCTACTCTGATATAAGGGCTATCCCAGGAGAGGAATGAATTTTTAGTTAGACATCCCTGGTTTATCAGAACAGAAGACATTTTTCACCTTTCCAGGCTTTCACCCCTCCCCTTTTAGGGTCACATGCAAAAATAGGAATGTGTTCTAATTAATTCTAATTAATACTTGCACATGCTCTGCTTTTAGGCTTTCTTTACAGAGAAGTACTTGCAGGAGCATCCTGAAGACCAGGAGAAGGTCGAGCTGCTGAAGCGACTGATAGCGTTACAGGTACCAGGGGCAGTGTGGGGGTCTACCATGTCCCCCTGGGCTTAAGTCTGCAAGCCTACGTTCAGGGTTATTTTCTTTGTCTAACACTTATGGAACCGCAACCTATCTATGCATTTGTTTGCTTGGCAGAGTGACTTAGGAGTGGCATCTGATTAAACTGCACGGGGTTGACAGGGGCCTTCTTAGAGCTGGCGTGAAAGTCCATCCATTGGTTTCCTGGCCTGTTTCTAGCTCAGAGATGTCAGCCTTGTTTTTTCCTCTCTCACGGCTTCAGGGGACATTGGTAGAAAATGCAAACATCCAATTCAGCCTCAGGCCCAAAGCTGTCAGTCGCTCACCCGCAGAGGTGCCAAGGGCTCTGTTGGGTTTGCCCCTCAGCCCTTGCACAGTTGAGGGCCGACTGTAGCCTTGGTGTGCGGATTTCTCCGCATCGTTGACCGAAGTCCGTCCAGTTCACAAGCCCTAAGCTGAGAAGTGGCCTCACTGGATGGTGCTGTGTGTTCTAGCCCCCACCTTGCCCTTCCCCAGCCCCCAAATGCAATGATCCCTCTTCTTTAGCCGTGTTTCATTCCTTCTGTGCCCCTCTCGGCAGATGCCGCTGCTGACAGAAGGGATCCGCATCCACGGGGAGAAGCTGACGGAGCAGCTCAAGCCGCTGCACGACCGGTTGTCTTCCTGCTTCCGGGAACTCAAGGACAAAGTCGAAAAGCTCTATGGGGTTATAACACTGGTAGGCTCGGGCTAAGCAGCCTTCTTGCTTTTTCTAGCTTCTTCGGCCTTTTATGACATTGATCAGTTTTGCAGACACCAGATGAGCTATAATAGCTTAGATACGGCATGAAAGTACCGGGGCAGGTGAGAGAGAGCACGCTCTGCTCTTGATGCCTTTGAGCCGTCTTTGAGCTGGACAGAGCTTCTCAGACTCTTACAGCCACCAGAGCCAGCTGGAGGGCTTATGACAACACAGGTCGCTGGGCCAGATCCCCAGGGTTTCTAATTCTATAGATCAGGGCATGGGGCCCAACTAGTTATATCTCTAACAAGTTCCCGGTTGATGTTGAGGCTGCTGGGGCAGCCTCAGCCCCAGAGTTGCCCCAGATGTTGCCCCAGATGTTGAGACTGGGGCAACACTTTGAGAACCACTACCCTAGAAGCTGAGGTTTTCCTAAGCCTAGACCCTGGTTATTCCTGTCCTGTCTAGCCAAATTCGTATGGTTTTTGCTGATCTTAAAAATATCATCTATTTTGATGAAAAGTTAATAGTGTTAACACCTTTGAAGGGGAGAAAGAATTATGAATTGAATTTTTCAATGCATATAGTTGATTTCATGATTTTTTTTTTTGACAGCTTTAACATTCCTTTAGCTTCACTGATCTCCTTTTTGTTTGAGTTCACCCTCTTGTCTTTAATTGTCTTATTCTTCAACCCCTGGTTTTCAAATTCCTTCCTCAAATCAAAGCTGTGAGTTTCTTTTTATGTTCTCTTCTCCCTTATTCCCACATATCCATCTCCACTGCAGTTTCTGCCACAGTATCTTTTTAAACATCTTTTTCAGAGTTCATTCTTGCAATCCTCCCAAGAATTTGCCTTCTAACCTGCTGCTCGTTAAGAGGTTTCTTCTCGGAACATTTGTCTCTTTTGCACACAATTTCCCAGAAAGCAAAGACTGATTTTGACTTAATGAGCTTAGTCATGATTAGATCGAGGCCAGTATTAGTAAATTTAATACAGTGGTAGCTGGGGGTAACACTACTTGTGACATTTCTTGTGAACCTACATCAGTATTCCAACACCAC